CATCTCTTCGTCCTTCCGCAGGCATCTATCTTTCCATACCTGGAGATCGTTCTCGTTATAATACCCGCCTCGGTCTGCCTTCTTTGGTACGTCTCCCTCCTGGCCGACGTCCTTCTCTCCAGGATTCTAATCCCGAGTTTCTTTATTGCAGTTATTCTCCTTTACGTTGGGAACGTTATTCTGAATCATAAAATTGACGACTAATTGCAGGTCTGCCAATTTATTCACTATTCCCTTCATCTCTCCGTCCTTCCGCAGGCATCTATCTTTCCATACCTGGAGATCGTTCTCGTTATAATACCCGCCTCGGTCTGCCTTCTTTGGTACGTCTCCCTCCTGGCCGACGTCCTTCTCTCCAGGATTCTAATCCCGAGTTTCTTTATTGCAGTTATTCTCCTTTATGTTGGGATCAAAGTGTTTACCACTTCCAGTAGGGATGTCGTCCCCGACCTTCTCTTTCTGTCTGTCATTGGCCATCTATTCTTCTTTCTTTCCCACAGATGGCGCCAAATTGTGTGTCCTGTTTTCTAACCACACTGCCAAAGAGGTACTTAACTGGAGAACACCGACAGAATAGAATGCGCCCAAACGACCTGTCACAGAAAGAAAAGACTCCGACGGTGGTTTTTCCATCCAGGGGCACTCCGACGATCAAGTCAATACTCAATTATCTCTCAAAGATAATAATTAGTGTTTAACTCCCTAGGCAGAATACAAAAAGCGTGCCTTACTTTTTAGCCAACACTGACCTAATCCTTGTAGAAGCTTAACTTTAATGGACTCTTACTCAATGCTTATCCTAAACTCTCAAATAGATAGAGATAAACTCTCTAAGAGTTTTATCTTTATCCAGACTGAGGTCTTCCCCCATTCTAAGACTCTTATAACTTATTCGTTTATCGCGGACTCCAGCATCCCCGCAAATAACCTAGGCCTAGCCGAGATCATCTCGACATTATGACCAAGACACGTGACACCTCGGCTGGCACTTCGGTGCCACCTTGGCCACGTGTCGTTATTAAAAAAATATGTCCTCACAGTAGTAATAGTGGTGGTAGTAGTGTTGGTATGATATAATGGTGGCAGTGACATGATGGTGGTGGTAGTAATTGCGTTGGTGTTGGTAACGGTGGTAATGGTGGTAGTGATGGCAGTGACACAATGGTAATGGTGATAATAGTAGCAATGATGATTGTGGTGGTGGCGTGATAGCGATGGTATGATAGTAGTGGTAGTGGTGGTGGTGGTGGCAGCAGTGATGGTGACAGTAATAGTAACAATGTTGGTAGTAATAATAGTTGGGTGTTTAAAAAAATAAACTGGATGCATATTCAACTGAATTGTGTATTCAAAAAAAATAAGTTAGGAAGTTAAAGGTAAAACATTAGACTAAATTTTTTATATGTATATGAATAAAGCTTGAGACCCCCACTTCCAGTGACCCCCAATGACCCCCCAGTGTCACGTGGCACCGCGTGATTGGAAAGAAAGGGAAAAAAAAATTGTTTTTGGCTACTGGGGGTGCTGGGGGTGCCCCCACTGGGGGTCCCTAGCACCACTGTATATATATATATATATATAAACAAATAAATCCAAGATGAATTAAACACCCAATGTTACATGTAGAGTCGCTCATTCTGAAATTTAATTAATTTTATATTAAATGTCACATCAAATAATATCAAATATAACTGCTAACCATTACTGTTACCAATAAATAAATAAGACAATGTGGCTATTTGGTGCATCTTAAAAACTGCTTATTTCAACTTTTAACTTAATTTAAGTTATTTTGATATGTTTGGTTTAGCTTATAGCTTATAACTTATAGTTTTTTGGAAGTCAGAAATCAACTTATTCTTTAAGTGGGACAGGAGATGCTTAATTTATAAGTCAGAAATCAGCTTATGTTCATAGTTATAAGCTATAAGCTGTTTAGGCATAAGTTATAAGCACTTTCCCACAACTCTATCAAACAGGACCAATAGCTTCTCACTCGTTCGAAATTAGACTGAATCTTATTGTTGGACTTTGTGACTCATCACACATCTCATATTAATAATTTAAATTATTTAATATGTAAATCTCGCCGAATATTTTATATTTATAAAAAATCATATTAATCAGATATCGATAATCACTTAATTAAATCAAATTTATATTAATAATAATTATAATTTTAAAAATAAATTATTAATACAAATATAATCTAATCAAGTAGTTATCAATATCCGATTAACATAATTTTTTATAATAATAAAATATTCAACAAATCCTATATATTGATTGCTCGAATTATCAATAGGGGTGAGCATGGTTCGGATTGGATCGGATTAGGATAAAATCAGGACCAATCCGTTATCTACGATTCTTGAAAAATTGGAACCAATCCAATCCGTTTAAATCATGGAACCAATCCGAACCAATCCATTTAAATACGGATTGGATCGGTTTAGGACCACGGATTCGCATAATTAAATAACAAAAAAATATATATAGCACTTTAATTTCATAAAAATATAAACATAGCGCCATATTAGTTCCACAATAGCAACATCTATTTCTATAATAGCGACATACTGTGCTAGAATTTAAACAACCATAAGAAAACTGGTTTCACCATAAGTATTTAGACCATTATAAATTAAAACTAAAAACTAACAAACAAAAGTAATAAAAGAAGATATTATACGGTTTTAAGTTTGAGTTTAGATTTTATATAGAATAAGAGAAAATATTATGGGGGAGGATGTATAATAAAAATATATACTATTTGTATAGGGTCCGGATCGGTTCCAATCTGGAACCGTGGAGTTCAATCCGGAACCAATCCGTGTACTACGGATTTTTAATTTTTCAATCCGGAACCGAACCACGGATTCAAAAAACCAATCTAAACCTATCGGATTGGACTGGACTAGATCGGATTACGAATTTCACGGATTCCTTGCTCAGCCCTAATTATCAATACAGATTCTATCATAACCCATAGAAAAGACTAACAACACACTCTAATTAAGATATCTAACTGAAGAGAAACATGAGCCAATAACTAATTCACACCGATAAGTGCGTCTAATATTTCTTCTTTATTGTTTATTTAAATTATGTTTTTTTCGTATCTCTCACTCTTTTCACGTCATCTCTTCATGTAAAAAGATATTATATTCCGTCAAAGAAAGTGAAATCATTTGTTTAAGAAAGTTGAAAACAAGTGCAAAATTAATGGAGCATCATCTTGACCAAATTGAAGATGCATTATTATCGTAAAGTACAAGAAGTCCTTCTCCATTAATAAAATATATATAAATTGCAATATTGCTCTAAACTACAATATAATTGAAGTTTATGTGTCTACCAAATCAATAATAATAATGTAGCCTAATGGATCAGGTTGGCATATAAATGACAAACTTTAACGATGTAACAAATAATATAGAATATACATGTTTGTTCACTCAACTATAATAATATATTAAAGAGCAATTTCTCTCCAATCTAAAAATTAATTAGATCGTGCAATTCACTCTGTCAAATTGCACCACATCATAAATTTTGGATTTAAAGAGTAAAATTACCTCATGTTTACATCTCAGAATATTTTTTTTTTCCCTTGATCTCATTATATATATATATGACAATCGTGTCAAATCAAAATGTGTCCCTTTTTAAGAAGATAAATTAACATGTCAAATGGACATCATAAATAGTAAGTTTGTAGGAATGTGTGTATCCTTTAATCAAATGAATTTTCATAATTTTAACTTTATATATTTTTTAAGAAGTTCATTGAAAATGTTGAATGTGTGTATCCTTTAATCAAATGAATTTTCATAACTTTAACTTTATATATTTCTTTAAAAGTTCATTGAAAATGTTGAGTCTAGTTTGAGTTGGGTTAAACAGATAAATAGACGACATTAAAATAATTTTCTAGGACATAGAAACAATGGGGTGGTGGCGCAGTTGGCTAGCGCGTAGGTCTCATAGCTTCTGAGTTATCCTGAGGTCGAGAGTTCGAGCCTCTCTCACCCCAAATTCCGCTTTTTGTTCATCACACTGGAATGGCAATAAATAATTTTTTTCACAATTCATGAAAAACATGTATATGTATATATATATATTTTTTTTTCTCTTATCGTACCAAACATTATAAAATGAGTAAAATATATTTTATTAAAACAAATGCATCTAAATTTCATGACTCAAACCTAGTCGCCATAGAAGTATTATATTAGACAAAATCAAAAATCTATATAAAGATTTTGATAATCATCTTAACATTTCTCATAAAAAGTATTTTAATACTTTAACCAACATAGGTCGAGGTTTAATTTCTTTACATGCCTAGTTTTCTATTTCAAATTAAATTAAATCTCATATCATAATCAAGTGAGATTGATTATATAAATTGTTTTTCTTTATTTAGTTTTATCAATAATTATATATTTAGTCAAATTAAATAAATTTATATTTTTTTTTTCAAAAAAAATATAGGGTATGTTTGGTTTGATTTGGGAAGAGTAGTTTTTAAAAATTATTTTGGGAGAGAGTTTTGAATTTTTTTTGATTTGTTTAGTTGTGTATTGTGAAAATAGTTTTGAAGTTTGGGAGTTTAGAATGATTTGATATTTTGTTACAATTGAGTAGATGTGTGTGAGAGAAAAAATGATTGAGAATGAGAGAGGAGAGAGGAGAGAGGAGAGAGCAAAAGTAATTGATTGATAGGTAAGAGAGAAAAAGTGATTTTTGAAATTATTTAGAAAAATTTACAAACCAAACAAATTTTTTAAAAAAAAAATTCCAAAATCACTTTAGAAATCCAAACCGAACATTTTTAAGAATCTCCCCATGTCTTACATCTATAAGTCCTTCAACTATACTTGTCCAAAAAGTTGAATAATGACATGGTGCCTCTCAGTTTTAGCAGGGACAACATTCATATACCAACGTAAAAGGACCAGATCAGATCAGATCAGCAGTCTAAATTGCAAAGACAATTTTGCAATAAACTAGAATTGTACGATAAAACATGAGAATAGAATAACAAAATTGTGGGGTTTCACCCAAAATTTACAGTCCAATAAATATGTAATCAAAGACCATGAAAAGAGAAACGAAAAGGCCAGTTTCCAGAATAAATGGCAGAGAAGTCTCCCTGTTAACCTCTTTCTTCCTTCCCTTGAGTATAAATGTATGTAATACACAATACAAAAACTAACCCTGAAAAATTCCCTACCACAAAAAGCAGCTGCTGCAGCTACACCAGTTGACAATCATTGTGAAAATTCCCACTACCAACACGATCACTCCACAACCAAGAGGGAAAGAAAGAACAAATACCTATTAAACAGCGAAAGACAACCACCCCCGACTTCCACTATCTCCTGCTGTTGAGAGGTTTCGCCTTCTTTAGGTCAGCGAGTTCTTCAATAAGTTTCCTCTCTTCACCGCTCAATCGTTTTGGGATCTCAACTTGCACCTTCACCAACTGATCACCCCTGAGGTTGCTTTTGTTAAGGAATGGTACACCCTTTTTGGCCATCACTAGGGTTGTTCCGGGCTGAGTACCGGCCGGGATCTTCAAGTCAACCATGCCGTCAACAGTGGGAACCTTCATTGTAGTTCCTAAAATTGCATCGATATAAGAAACCTTGCAACTGTAGAGAATATTAGTATCGTCTCGTTTCAAGACAGGATCCGGAAGAACATCAATAATCACAAAGAGGTCTCCAGGGGGCCCGCCTCGCTTTCCTGCGTTACCTTCACCCCGGACCCTTAACCGGCTGCCGCCATCAACCCCGGCCGGAACTTTTAGGCTAATCCGTTTTGACTTCCGTAGTCGCCCATCACCACCACATGAATTGCAAGGAGTCGAAGTCTCCCCGGTCCCACCACAAGCAGAGCAGGTCATTACCTGTTGGAAGACACCCAATGGGGTTCTTGCTGACTGGACAACTTGCCCTTGTCCACCACATGTGCTACATCTCGCAGGACTGGTCCCCGGTTTGGCACCTGACCCATCACAGGTTCCACATGACTCAAGCCGAGTTATATCAATCTCCTTTTCTACCCCAAATACAGCATCTTTGAAGTTCAAAACCAGATTGTAGATCTGATCCTCGCCCTCTGTTGCCCTACTCCGAGAGCCCCGTCCACCCATGCCCATACCACCCATCCCGCCCATACCACCCAAGCCATCAAATAATGACTCAAACAGATCAAAGGGGTTGCTGAAATCCTGGCATAATGAAATGCTCAAAATAAGAAAAGAACATGCATTAAGAGGAATAGAAACAAATTTAGAAATTGAAACCAGTTATTTTGGTGTTTGTTTTCTTTCTAATAGACAGGAACTCACCCCTGTGCCCATGCCAACACCTTTAAGGCCAGCTTCTCCATACCTGTCATATATGGAACGTTTCTCATCATCTGACAAAACCTGTAATACACGTATTTATTTGCCATTAGATCTGCCACTACTCAATTGGAAATCATCAAGCAGAATAATATGCATTAGGATCCAGATGTTTACCTCATAAGCGTTACTGATATCCTTAAATTTCTGCTCTGCTCCGGGTTCTCTGCAGGAACGGAAGAAGAACAAGAGTAAAAACAAAGCATTTTACTTCTAGAATTCTAAACAAACCCCCCCCCGTGTAGACACCCTATTTTTGACCGCCCTTAAGACCAGTATGTGTGGACAACTTCTCCAGAGCCATAGGAAATAAAACAGCCAAGGGTTCACACCAATGACCTTCCACATAATGCAAAGGCATCGCCGCATCATATGTGTAAACTAAAGCCGTGTCTTTACTTTCCTAGGAACTCACAAACATGTAGCTCCCATTATGGTATTTGTCATTTAAATTATTTGCCAAATTTGTATCTATATGGAAGAAACAAAATATACTGGAGCCAACCAAAAAAAGGTTAAATTATCAGGTACGGTATATTTCAAATTGGGAGTATGCAAATGCTTAAAAGGAAATCAAAATTAGTGGGCAATAAGAAAGGATTGGGAAATGTAAATCCTCTAGGAGGAAATGCCCCAAAGACTCTTCAATATATCACATTGAAAAGTAAAGTCTATGAATTAATATATTAGAAATACATTGATTTCCATACTTCACAACAAACAGGCAAAGATTATCCACTCCAAAAAAAAAAATTCCACATAGCACATTCACATTGCTACCTACAATGAGTGGTGAATGCTGACACTATCCATGAATTGGGCAATTGGAGGATTAGGAAATATTAAAAAAAAATGATCATAAAAATGGTAAAAATGGCGGTAATGATGGTACAATTGGCGGTAAAATGGTGGTCCTTAGATGGTGAGTCCATTTTCTTTGATTAGTAAAGACCTATATTTTACTATCCATGAATTGGGCAATCAGAAAGGATTAGGAAATACAAAAAACTCTTTGGTAAAAATGGCGGTGATGATGGTACAATTGGCGGTAAAATGGTGGTCCTTAGGTGGTGAGTCCATTTTCTTTGATTAGTAAAGACCTATGTTTTAAGTAAAGCACTGCAAGAAAGAATCTTTTCCCCCTTGTTATCCAATGGTGATGAGCCACACAGAGTATCCTCCCCTGCCAACTGCTTGCCATGTGGGGCTCAATCCCAATTCCCATGTCTCTAAACCCAAACCACAAAGAGACTTTGCCAATGAAGAGCTACCACCCTGAAGGTGGTGGGTCAATTTTAAAATCAGCATTGCTCAATCACAAGAAGGTTACTCATATAGGTTAGATCTTCATTGGAAAAACTTGGGTAATTTGAATCTTATACCCCAAGATACTAGACCAATTCAATGAGAAAAATTTCAAGTATCCCTTCTTTGAATTTTATTTCCACGCTAGTGCTGCCATCACCAGTTCAAATCACATCACTACGCCACATGAATCCTGTAGCAAATGTGCATTATGGGGAAAGGAGTTTTCTGTCTTGGCCAAGTGATATTTCAAAAAAAAAATATGATATGTCCCAATTGACAAAATCAAACAGCAAACGCATGCAATATCAAATCAAATATGTGAGCTAGAAACAAATCTTCATTCTTCCAACAAGTTTTTGGGCCACACGATCAACTAACTTCGAACATCTTTGGTCAGATAATGGCCTAACTCAACAAGCAACAGGACGTCAACAAAGCATCTTTCATAGATGAAGCTACCTGAGAACTTCTGGCCCGACGTTATCTTAACTACTCCAAGTTTATGATGTCAAAAAACTTGGGAAGCAAAGAGATAGAATCTTCACTTTCTTTTATATTATTTTGGATGACCACAATACCATTAACAGATATAATAGTAATTTAGGCCTCGTTTGGCAAGAGGCTATTTTAGCCAATTAGTCAAAAAGTTACTAAATTAGCCAAAAAGCCAACAACCCATACCAAAAAGTCAAAGATTCTCTTTTCTCTCTACTTTTTGCACATCTTTTCGTAATTAGCCAAAAAGTCATCCCAAACATACAAGTTTTTTTTACTTACCTTTGTAGCCAAATAGCCAAAAAGTTACTAAATTAGCCTGTTCCCAAACGAGGCCTTAGTCTCCAATTTCGCATCCCTATAGCATGCTTAATGAGCTGAGTATGACAGCTTGACTTATCTATATCTTCCTTCCTTAACAGTTTTATAATAAAAATAAAAATTTGTGGAAATGTAGCTCCTCTCGAAGCCACAACATCTCTTGGTTTGTCTCTCTAAGCAGCAAGCACCTCTACCAATGTCAAACTTAAATATTCAGCCCTCAAAAAACTACAATCCTTCTCAAGATTTTACAAGTGGTGCTAAATAGTAGAACAACAACAATAACTTGCATAAATAGCAGGTTTCTCAATTCTAAAATCTAGCTTGGACCTTTGACAAAACATCATTTCTAAGGTTACAAATTGATCATAGAGTGTAGACACCCTATTTTTGACCGCCCTTAAGACTTGGGCGTTACTGATGGTTTACTTTGTGGTGAAAGTCGTGCAGGGCAAAGGGTCGATTTCTTCAGCAAGAGGAGAGTCAAATCCCAACTTCATACCCCTTTTGGACCAAAACTATCTTGATCAAAAGATTTTTAGACCTTGAAACCCTCTCTTTCAAAATAATTTTTGAAAAAGTTGATTCTACGATGTTCCGATGCTCGCATTTTGTTAAATGTCGCGCTTTTCGGTAAACCGAGCGAGGACAAAGTGGAAGTGAATGAAAGAGAGATGAAATCTTTGAAAAATCTTTCAAAACACCTTGTTTAGGGGTTTGGAATTGAAGAAAAGAGGAGAGAAGAGAAGAAACCAAGTTGAGGGAAAAAATGGGCATGAACCGTTAAGAAAGAGTCGAGCAGCGCTCGCTGAATCGGGCTATCCATCTGTAAACTTGGATTTCAGCTATGAGGCCACCACTGTTGGAAAGAAGACTTCCGGGCTTCATTTTTTATTCAAGAATCTCCTTGAGCCGAGTCCGGATGGGAGAGATATGGTTGTTGGAAGTTAGGCATCAATCCGGTTGGACCGAAACTGAGCAGCCTTCACTAAAAGAGAGATATCTCTTAGCACAGTTGGAATTTTGATGCAAGGCTGCCACCATTGGAAAGCTTACTTCCGGGGCTTCAATTTGCACACAAGAATGACCTGAAAAGGTATCCAGATGAAGGAGTTAGGCTTTCTTTAAGTCGGGGACTAGGACTGATTTTTGCTGCTGAACTCTATGGGAGTGTGCCGGCCATGAATGGCCAATGCCGGCCCTATGCCGTCCAAAAGTGACCCCATGCCGGCCAACAATGATCAAGTGCCGGCCATTGATGCCAGAAAGCAGATTTCGACATATATTTTGCTCCAGCTGTCCTTTTTGAGATATTTTCGACCCAAACCTCTCTTTTTGCTATATATAGAGGCCTTATCTATTGTTTTGAAGGGTTAGAACATTTGGAGAACTTCTTGGACAAGCTTGAGAGCTTCTCTCACTAAACTCCCTCTCTCTCTACAAAACTTCCAACACAAGATCTCTGCCTCTCTCTAGAGCCTCTCCCTCTTGCCTTTTGCACATGCAAGTAGAGAAATACCTCTCTTTTGCCTAGACATCCTTGGTGAAAGTGGTCCATCTTTGGGAGGAGGTTGCTTGAAGCTTACTTGGGACTTTGTTGGAGCTCCAAAAGGTGTTTTGACTCAGATTTTGAGCTGGTTTTGCAGCTGTGCATCAAGGGTAACATCTCTCTCCCTTTAAGCTTGTTTTACACATTTGCTTAGCCATCTTTTCACACTACTTTGGGCTGTTTTGGGGGTGGTGTTGAGCTACAAAAACCTCTATTTTTCCTCTGTTTTTCAGTCCTAAAAGTCTTGGTTTGTGCCTTGGTTGGCTAGGGGGTTGTCCTCCTTTTTGCTCCTTGGCTTGTAGGCCTTGTGAGCTAACTTTCAAACCTTTCAAACAATTTCTTTTTGGCCTTAGAACCACTGTAATCCAAAAAAATTTCAGTGGTAAAAACCCTGTTTTGAGGCTCAAAATAGGAGGGGTTGTCCCCTCTCCTCTTCTCTTGTTTACTTGTGTTGATGGCCAACCAAATGAGCATGTGTTTTTACTTCTTAGAGGCTTTGTTTAGGCTCATTTTTGTGACTTATCAGACCTGTCATAACTCTGTTTTTGGCTGCATTGGTCACCTCTTGTATGATTATTGCACTTGTAGTGTAAATCCTCTTTGCTTGCCTTGTTAGCCTTGCAAAGTAGCATCTTTTTGTGGCTTGTGTTAGCTCTTTTCAAGCATATTTTTGTGACTTTTAGGACATGATATAACTCTGTCCATGGCTGGTTTGGTCACCTTGTGCATGCATCTTATATGTGTAGAGTAATCCCACTTGTGGCCCATCAAAGTAGCATGTCTTGCTAGCATGTATTGACTCCATTTCAGTGAGTTTTTGACCATCATTTGGCATGTCATAACTCTGTCTAAAGCTGTTTTGGTTGTCTCTTGAGTGGTTCATATACTTGTAGAACAAATCTTGCTTACTAGTCTTGTGTGCATGATGTTTTGGCTCATCATTCTAGCATATTTTGACTTTGCTCCAACATGATTTTGTTCTTATTTTGGGCTGTTCTAGGACTGTTTTGGGCTGCCATGGCCATATCACTCATGTTTTGTATAGCTATAGTGTAAATGCTTAGGCTAGCCTTGGGTTTTGAGACCCCTACCATGCCATACATGTAATGTTTGCATGCTTTGCCATCATTCTAAATGTTATTTCAGTCCATGAAATGTAGTCATACACTTGTATTTGACATGCCTTTAATGCCTTGGAGGCTTGGCTCTTTATGCCTCAAGGATGGACTTTTGTGCATGCCATTAAGCCTAAGCTTTTGGCTCATCATATCAGTGCATTTTTGGTCTTGTTATACCATGATGTAACTCTGTTTTATGTTGTCCAAGTCATGCCATGTTTGGTTTCAATAGGTGTAGTGCATTGCCTCTTTTATAGCCTTGCATGCTCCTTTTTTTTTGGCCTTGCGTTCTAGCTTATGTTGACTAGCTTCGAGCTTGTTTTTGGTCTTATTTGGACCTGCCTTGGGACTGTTTTGGGTTCCCTTAGCCCTTTGGGGCTTGCTTTGTATGGCCATGGCTTAAGTCCCTTTGCTAGTTCTTAGCTTTTGAGCTTCATGCATGCCATGCTTGTGTTATGTGTGTGATTTGGCATCATTCCTAACATCATTTCAGAGCATGTAGAATTGTCATACTTGCATGCTTTTCACTCCTCAAGTGTGCCTAAGAGTTGCATCTTTATGCCTTAATTCTTGGGCCCATTGGCATGCATGCTTGTCTAGCATTTTGTACCACCAATTCAGCACCTTATGGCCACTGATTGGGGCATAGTTAAGGTCTGCCCATATTGGTTTAAGACCATCCTTGCATGTTGTTGCATGCTTGTCTTGCATATTGTTGTATGCTTGCTCCATCTTTGCATGTTGTTGCATGCTTGTTATATCACATGTTGTTGCATGCCATTAGCCTTGTTAGGTTGTTCATATTGCATTGCATGTTTGCTTGCTTGAGTCGCATGTTTGCCATGCTTGTGTTGCATTGTTGTTTGGATTAAGTGTTAATCCGAGCACGAGAAACGAGGAACGTTTCATACTTCAAGTGATGAAACGTGTCTCAATTCTTGGTCGCCGACGCTCTCCATGATAGAGTTCTAGGCTTTATGTGTTTATTTGTGCATTCATTTCATATTGATTTGCACAAGTTGGATCTTTGGCCATCATGCATCGGGATGCGTAATTGATGGTCGTGGATCCGATTATGCCTCTCCCTTGATGTTTCGAGGTGATATGAGGTGGCATACTGCGTACATATCCTTGGGAGATCCTCCATTTTTTCTATTTTGTGCTCTGCTGCAGCTTGGTGTCACAGCACATCAGTGGTCAACAGTGCCCTACAGATGGTCGACACCTCCTCATCCTTGGCCGGCAGTGTGCCATCTTCGGCCGGCAAGTGGTCGGCAGCATCTCTCCATGGCCGGCAGGCCACTGATGCATTCCCCAGACTAGTTTTGGTAAGTTCCAGCAGCAAGGTCTCAAGTACACCCTGTAGACAGAGCCTCTAAAGAGCAACCGGAGAGCTTACCGGGACAGGAACCGAGCATGCATGTTCGCCTTCTTCAACTTGCCGAGGCAGCATTGTTTAATTGCTTACTTGTTAGTTAGCATTTGGTTTTGTAATTAATTAATTTGTTAATTAATTAAGTTTTGTAATAATTAATAAGTAGTTCGCTTATTAATTTGGTTGTGTAATAATTAATTAGCTTGTTAGTTAGTTAATTAGTTGGTTTGTATTATTTATTCGAACCCTCCGTCGAGAGGGCTAATTTTGTAATAAGTGTGCGTGAGTGTGTGAATGTCTTCCAACCCCACGTCTTTCTCCCTTTTACTTACCTGCTTTGTTGGCTAGTTCTAGGACATATTTTCAATTAGCATCCTTATGCTTTGCATACGTGCATCCATTCATCTATATTGCATGCACCGGGCTCGGCGCATCATACTAACTGCATTATATTTCAATTCCAAGTTGAATACATATATCAATTGTTGCACCTCATATGCCATCTTAGAATAGCCGAGCCTATTTTTAGTTGCATTTTGCATGTGTTGCATTAGTCATCTTAACATGAACTAAGATCATGCATTGATTACTAACTAATTCTCTGTTTTGGCTCAGAGTACACTGTGAGTGTTTACGCTTTAGCATACTGCATGTGTGTGAATGTTATCATGAAAGCATGCTTGCCATGAGGCTAACTGCTTATGTGATATAACTGCCTGAATGCCTGTGGGTGAAGGTTGGATTACTTAAATTGGAACGATTCATTGAAATCCGTGTTTTAGCCTACTTACGAATAGCAAACTTCAAACCATTTTCCGAACAAACGGATATGCAATGCTTTGTTCCAAATTAAGCGATTTAATCTATACTTGTTTTGCTGTACGCATCACATAGTAATTCTAGGCTAATAACCGGTGTAAGAATGCATAATGTTTTCAAAACAAGATATCATGGTTAGTAGAGGCCGATCTTCAGATCGGCCGATCTTCGGACCTTCCCCAATCGTACCCAAGTTCCCAAGCCGAGGCAACTTTGGTGATGACAGACACGTGGCCTTAGGCAAACGAGTTAGGGTTTACCTAAATTTACCTCCCACAAAATAAAATATTTAGTGGCGACTCTGTATCTGGCAAAACAGTCCATGTTTGGCACTTCTTTCTTAAAAATCAGTTTTCGAAAACGATTTGTTGGATTTGGACTCTTTGGTGATTTATCGGGTCTTGCATTGCACTTTGCGAGACTAGATTCAAGACCGTGACAATTTGAGTCCGAACTATAGCATGAGGTCCCTGAGAGCGCGTCTACATAGAGGAGAGAAAGGAGAAAGAGGGAAGGCGGGGGGACGAGGCTGTTGGGAAGAGTAAGAGTGGAAAACCTAACCCTTGGCAATATTTACACAGTGGCTGCTCTCATACTCAAACATGCATTCCCATGCTTGGTAGCCCAAAGCATTTACCATTACAGCAAGCAATGAACCTAAGGTTTTAAACTATCTTATAGATGACAATTCACTATCAACTAGATTAAAGGAAAAAATACAAAAGGTTTCAAACTGGTAACAGACTACAATTTCAAGGAGTTGTGTTAATGGTTTTGAACTTTTGGCCGTAGTTTAATTAAAACAAGCAAAAATGTTTGATGGAATGAAATTAACATATTAAAAAAAGCATATTAATAAGAATTAAGAAATAAGAATGGTGAGTGGAAATATTACGAGAGAGAGAGAGAGAGAGAGAGAGAGAGAGATGTGACTTAACAAATGAAGATTTTTCATCTCCAAGAGAAATTAATGCAGTCCTCTTTATAAGCTTAAAAAATTTTCAGGGTGTGAAAAACAAAGAAGCTTGGCATACACAACCAACATAACCGAGCAAATCAATGGTGGAAAATAAACAGACATTGTTGAAATTAAAAGCCAAAGAATTTGACAACAGATTGAAAGTTCAGTTCAACTTACTTGTTCACATCAGGATGATAACTTCTGGCAAGCTTCCGATAAGCTAAAAATGAAAGAAGAAATAGTTAGCAATATAATATGAACCAAAAATTATTACTAAACAATGCCTAGAGTTAGGATTGAAGAACAAATATAGACAAAGAAAGCCAAATCTGAACTGGCACAATAAGTTAAGATCCTTTTAATAAAAGGTAGAAATACTTTTTTATGAGTAACATCATTAAGCTTTATTGACAAGACGTTGAACAAAAAAAGCCACATCCAATAAGGGAAAGAAAAAATCCAAGCAAATCGCCAAATAATGCCATAGAAAGAAGCACAAACACTTCTATGGAGGAGGCGCGTCATGTCATACACCCGTGTCGGACAACAACACTTTGCAGACGCTCCTAAAAGCATGTCCGACACAAGGCACTAGATACTCGAAGGTCTCTTTAGAATGACAGCAAAAGACATGTATATAGAAGAATAAGAAGAAAAAAGGAAGTAATCTCAAAGAAAAAGGAACAGTAAAAAAGAAGCAATCAAAGAAGTAGCAGTAATGTATGTAAGCATGTAGCACACCATTAACATGTCAATAATGTTTGTTATCAGATGATACTCTATAAGGGACAACCCTTGTAGCACGAGAAATAGTTACCCAAAAAAAAAGTGTGCACATACAAATTATATCCCCCAAATAGGAACTATATCACAGCAATGAGAAAATCATGAAAAGAATCAAGAATCTACTTACCACTTTTGATTTCAGACTTGCTAGCATTTTTTGGCACCCCAAGGACAGCATAAAAATCCTGTATGTACATAATATTGGTAAAAGTAGATATGATGGTAAACTCTCAATAACACAGCAAAGCACAAAACAGAACTCCCAAGAAAAAATTCAAATAGAAAACTCACACTATTAGCTCTGACAATCAAACGAGCTCCCCTATGGTGAATTGGATTCCTAGATGACCCCATATTAAATAGTGCACGCAACGAATCTTGAGAAAATATGCTTGAACTTGGTGATGCCAAGGCTCTTATCTTGCTTGATACACTACAACAAAATGATAATGCATAAAAAATGGAAGTCTAATAAAGGACATGTGATCTTTCCATGAATAAGAGAAGTGCAAAGCAGGAAGATTCAATGTAACGCATGCCATATAAAGCCCAGATGAACATGAAATGGGTTACTATAGGCCATTCTTAGATATGTTTTGCCAAAGAAATTAGGACAATTTCAAGCACCAGTTCAGTTTTCCTTGTAAAACTGAATTAAGATGTGATTCCTTTTCAGTCCAAAAGCAGATTGTAAGCAACCATCTGTACAACTTTTCTAAGCTATGATAACTTGCACGAAAACAAAAGAACAAACCAAAAAAGAGAACATAATTATAAGTGAAATGGAACAAAGTACAAGAACATTTTTTTTCTCACTCCATAGTGAGATATGATTTTCATAACAAGGGAAGAAAGATTCATCTCCCAAGTTTGAAATGAATGAACAGTGAAAGATAGTAATGTGACAATAATACCGAGTGAAGGCAGGACTTGAGTTGTTGGAAGTTGACACGTTTGCAATTCAAGAGGTTGGTCTCTTGTGTTTCATTGTTTCTCAAAAAATTTAATACAAAGTTATGTTAAGAGTTTCAATGCAACACGGAAAGAAACATTTGTCAATTTTCACAAAATACAAAGAAATCTGGATAAAATTGCCATGACATGTCTATATATAAAAATTCTATTTGGACAAAATAGTCAAGTGATTTTATGGATATCATTGTAGACTTGCCATAACATGTCCATATACAAAAATGCTATTTGGACAAATAGTAAGTGATTCTATGGGTATCATTGTAGAATGAACACAGAAATTCTGTCTGACTTGGACATTGAAAGGACAGATTTACATCAGGATTCATTTTCACATCAACTCCTGCTGAGAGAAAAATTTCCAACCATTATTCCTCCATTGATCTAGTCACTTGTACACCATCACAAAGACATAACAGCAAACTTGAAGTTAAAAGAATGTGTAAACAACATGAGAAATTTCACTGGCCAAAATGTTCCATAATCAATAAGTATATTACTACCAACAAAAATTAACTAAATACTCACCAATTTGAAGATGTAGGCAACTTGTTTGTAACAAAAGATCTTAATACAAATTGAGGTTGTCCCCACCGAGCCACCCATGTACTTCCACAAGGTACTATCGCCATTGAATGTACTGTATATTAAAGAAAAATGTCTTAACAAATGGCAGCATTTTTGTGCCAATTTCGTAAGATGAAAATGGTAGCTCAAAATGATAAGGACACAATGCTTGAAACAAAAATATTAAAGAGAAAGTCTCAACCCACACAGACAGATACTATTTACAACAGGGTTAGTTCACTTTAAAAACAAGTATTATGCCACCATTAGTGAAATTAATATAGTTAAATTGATAATTAAAAAAAATAAGGCTAATGGAGAAATTGACGAATAATTATAATAATAGTAATTTTGCTCAGGTCATCAGAAGGTCTCAACCGACATAGACATACACCATTCACAACATCTATTAGGTTAGGTGACTAAAAAAAAAGTATTAAGCCACTATTAGTGAAATTAATACAATTACATTGATGAAACAATGCTAAGGAAAACAAAGAAAACTGTGTACATAATGCTCTGCTCAGGTGAACAAAATGTCTCAACCTAGATAGACATACACCATTCGCAACATCCATTAGGGTTAGGTGGCTATAAAAACAAGAAATATGCCTCTATTAATGAAATTAATGCATTTACATTGATGAGAAAAATGCTAAAAAAGAAGAAGGGAACCGTGTACATAATGTTGCTCAGATGAGCAGAAGACACACACCATTCGCAAAGTCTATAATGGTTGGGTGGCGTTAGAAACGAGTATTCTGCAAGTGCCACTATTGGTGAAATTGATAGTGTTAGATTCATGAAATTAACGCCAATGGAGAAGAGGTAAACGGTGAACGAAATCTTGCTCAGGTGAATAAAAGGTATCAACCCACATAGACATACACCATTCGCAACATCAATTTGGGTAAGGTGGTATTTTGAAGGCAAGAGTATTATTCTAATAACATTGATGAAAATAATGCCTAGGGAGAAGAGAGGAGAAGGAAATTGGTGAAAATAATGCTTGCTCACATGAGCCCAATGACATTAAAGTAATCATAAACCAAATATGAGATCATTGCCACACCAATTGGTCAAGTATGGTTCAGAATTCAAAACTATTCATATCAGAACAAGCCCTGCACACCAAATTACAAGACTCAAGACAGCCAACTTGAGAAGAGGCAATGCTTGGATGTCAGACTGTCAGGGCTATTTTTCCTATATATATATATATATTTTTTTTACATCGGAGCCTTTGGAGTCTTGCCTGTGGCAAAAACCAAACCATTGAACTCCTAGGCCCCATTTGGAACTTTATAAAATTGAAGAAGGTTGATTAATGTAAGTAGATTGATAACTCTAAAGTAATGGATGCATATATTGTTAATATTTTTGTACACGTAGAATCATTCATGAAATGATTTTAAATAATTATCAAATCCATTAATCTAAAAGCCTCAAATCCATTATTGAATCCAATACACTGAATTAAATGTTACACTCCATCAATGCGTGATACCAAATCCATTCATTTCAAATCCAAGTATCCAAATGAAGCTCTAAACTCCTAATAAGATACAGAGATTCTGGCCAACGGGGCTGCTATTTCCTAAAATACTTGTTTCCAGCCCAAGGACAAGAGAGCATATCACTCCGCATCCTCCCAAAACATTCACAATAAAATTCGAGCTCCAAGAAAACAACTTTCCAGGAAAATCTATCCAAGCTGCAATTTTCCCAAGAAAAAACAGTGTCTTTTGGAGAAAGCATGAATCTTGATATACACACTAAACCCAAACATGACGAGAGAGAATACCTCATTTTCAATAAACCCTCTTTTACAAAACCTCAAGTTTCTAAGATTAGGGCTTCCTACCGATTGAAAACGAAGAAACACATATGAAGCTATACAGATAATATAAATATATATATAGATAGATAGATAGATAGATAGATAGATAGATAGAGAGAGAGAGAGAGAGAGAGAGATTGAAATCGATGAAGAACCTGGAATTGAATGTGGAGACTTGCAGTCCGTTGGATTTGCGGAGCTTTGCTTGGGTGTTGAGTGGTGGTGGTGCAGTTGTGGTAGTTGGTGGAGCAGTGGAGAGAGAGAGAGAGACTTGTTGGGTCGAAGTTTCGAAGATGAGGCTCTCCAACCACGAAGAGAGAGAAAAAAAAGGTATTTGCATAACGATACGAATACATATCTATTGAAATATCACTGACACCATTCTATTCCTTGGACATCACATTGACACCCCTCCATTTATTGAAATATCATTGTCCTTCATTATTATTATTATTATTATTATTTTTTTTTTTTTGGAGAAGCATGAAAAACTGTTAAAAAAAAAACAAATCAAACAACATACGGATAAAAATAAAAACAATAAAATCTCAAAGGGTCAAACAAACAATAAATTACAAGCAACAAAAATAAATTTCCAAAAAATCATCAATCTTCGCATAGATGTGATTTGAAAAACTAGATTTGGATCAATATCCATTATTGTCATCGATGTCATCTCTATTGCCGTTATCCAACTCTACCACCGCCATATTTCGAACACTACTTGTAAGAACCTAAATTTTTAGACAACTAATTAGTTTAATAATAATAATATTAAGCGAATCAATAGTGATTGTTAAACCATTAAATTATAATATTAATAGGACCATAATTAAGATCAATATTAAATTCTTTTAAATAAAAATTATATATCTTGATGTGATTAAAATTCTGTATCAAAATACAGTTGTGAAAACTAAATGGATTAAATTGATAGTAAATAAGCTAGTTAGAATTTAGTAGGAAGAAAAAAAACATCCAGTTGAAAATAATTATATTAAATAAGTAAACCAATAAATAAATTATATATACATATTAATATTGTATTGACACCAATTTCAATTCAATTCAAAAAAAAAAAAATGATCTAGTTGCAAGGAAAGTGGCTGACTGCCACTTCCTTTTCTTTTTATCTAGGTTACCTGGCTGCATGCTTATTTTTCCCAAGTCCACACTCAACCTCCCTAAGAGAAGTAAGCATGCAATGGCATTCCAAGCCTTAATTAAGGCAGCCACGGCAGGCACAACTTGTAAGCTACCATCTAAGCATTAGATGAGAGCTCCTAAGCAAAAAGGAGAAGTAAAGTAAAATAATAATAATAATAATAATAAATAAAAAATAATAATAATAACAAATTAGGCCCTCAAACTCCTATATTAGGAGCACTATTCAGCCTTGTTACACACACTTGTAAGAGCAAAACAAAGAGAGAAGAGAAGGAGAAAGAAGGGCCTAACATTTGGGATTTTTTTTACTTCACTAAGGTAATAATACATCACCTCTATCCTCCCTTAGATATCTCTAACTGAATTTATATAATTTATATATGCAAGACTAAGCATGGTTAAGTCATATATGGCAAAATAGTACCATGCATGTTTAGAACTTTGATGGGATGAGAGTTTCATTATGTTATAATTTCCTATCCCTTCTTGCAAATATAGATATATGGCTTAGCTACTGTTTTTAAGTGTTCAATATTCTCCATTGTTGATAAAATCTTGCAAAAGAGTAAAATGAGATGAGAATGGCTTCCCTTTACCTGAAACTTAGATCATTCCTCACTGTTTCAGACCTTATCGGATGAAAAGAGGGCTATAATAAATTGAAAATAATTGAGGTTAAAAATCTGTGTATACTGGAAGCATATATAGGTGTTATGGACTGTGTAAAATTTTTATAAAATCATTGGATACCATTTTTTTACCGAAACAAATATTTTCCCTAAGCGTCGCTTACAACACAGCAGAAAGCAGTGGCTTCAAACAGGTCCCATTTTCTCTACAAAGGGTATTTTTTTGCACGACTACTTGGAAAAGTTAGATTTTTAAGTTATCTTTCGAACGCCACTGGTTTCATAATTTTTTATTAAGTATTGAGAGAGAAACGCCAAATTTTCCAAAATATGACAGAATCTGTCCAGTTTTCTTATAAAAATTATTTGACCTCCTTCGACTGGTTTTCAGTCTTCATACTTTTCTGAAAATATGTTCTAAACTCAAAAATTTAGCAAAACGTTCTGACCATGCCTCTTTTCGACACTATTTGAGGACCCTTTTTATTTTTCGAACACAGAACACCTGTGCTGACGTTTTCATGGCCTGAATATTTTTTTTTTATTTCATTGCTGTTTGGAGGCAGCAGCAATGCTGACTTTGCCAGGTCACCGTTTATTCCACAGAATAAATTTTCAAGTGGTTCAAATTGGAAAAGTTATATTTTTAAGTTGCCTTTCAAACGCCGCTGGTTTCGTAAATTTTTATTAAGTATTGGGAGAGAAACACAAATTTTTCCAAAATGTGATAGAATCTGTCCAGTTTTCTTAAAAAAATTATTTGACCATCTTCTGTCGATTTTCAGTCTTCGAATCCTTCTGGAAACATGTTCTAAACTCAAGTGTCTAACATTCTGTTCTAACTATACCTTCTTTTGACACCGTTTGAGGCCGCTTTTATTTTTTTCAACACAGATTACCTGTGCTGGAAGTACTGTAACTCACTGTCCCAGAAAAACCAGTTTTCTTCCAAAATTTATTTCTCCCTTTAAAAATCGTTTTTAGCTCAGGTATCCTTCTCGGAATATTTTCCTAACTCAGTGAATTAGCACCAGTTAAAATATCGTAATGATTGAATATCATTTGGTATGGGTTTCATATTTTTACATACAGTGCTGAAAAAAAAAAAAAAAAAAAAGTAGTGTGTGAATTATTAAGAAATTTTGTGATAATTCCTAAGACATTCTATCATGTTTATTTTGGTTGCCATACACGATTGTGTTGTGCTATATAAACATTATGTCACTGTAGTTTTCAAACTAAAACTCGTACATGCATCAAAATGTGAAATGGACAAAGTAAAAGGACACGGAATCGAACAGATACATTAAAATTTAAAAGTGATGGGGTGAGCCCGGTTTAGAATTTTGCGCAATTGAGTTGCGAACCCTAACATGGCACGGGAAGGTATTTCAGCTCTTATCGGTACAGGCGATATAAGGTTGGTGGTGCGGGTGTCACAATGTAGACCGTTCCCTTGGGGCAGACCGTGATGTCACGACTCGGGTACGTAACCCTGGTGTGTGGGCATCATTGGTAGTTACAGTAAGTAACATTTGAATATTTGACCAAGGGGGAGTCAGAATTGCCCGTGGCTATTGCTTAGCGGTTGAGTGGAAATAGTGCTCCGCGGGGAGTTACTTAAATTTATCTGATAAACTGAATCTATGAGAAATTAAAAAGAAAAGCATGCATTTTCCCTATGATGAATCACTATTTCCATTTTTCATTTTTATTTATTTATCTATTGTTATTATTTTAACTATTAGCATTTCTGTTATGCTTATTAAATGTTGTTTACTATTCTGTTGTTATACGATATTTATTATTCATGAGTATTATTATTGGAGTGGGTATTTTCGGGTTGTAGTATATTACTGAGCTCGTCGCTCATTGGCATTCTCGTTGCCATGGCGTTTTATGCTAGGTACCGAAGAAAACGAAGGAAACACTGAAGCCGTGCAAGGTGACATTCAGCCTTGGTTAGCTTGAAGAGTCCCCAAATTCCACAAAACCATTTCCTATATTTCTCTATCTTTCTTTCGCAGTGGTTTTAAATTTCTTTTTGTGTACCGAGACTAAGTTTTAAGTTCTATTAGAATTGTACTTTGAAAACTTTAAAATTTTTGGGTTGTTAATTAATGGATATTAGTGATGTTTGATGGCAACATTGATTTTAAGTCCTAAATCTTATTATGATGTCAAAAAAAAAAAAATTGGGACGTCACACTACTAGAAACTAAAGTTGAAGAATAATAACATCCATAATGATATGGAAAGAAGGTTTGAGAGAATAAAGAACTATTGTAAGTGTCAAAAATCTAAAAATCTATGCCAAAATCTGAAGAGAAATATTCAAAATCCCTATATTAAATATAAAAAACTCAGGTCTACACTTTATAAGTGCATATCTATACTCTAGAAATATAAATTTACATTTTAAAAGTGCTCGTCAAAGTTTCGCCAGAGCACTGTTGAAAATCTCTAGAAAGAGAAGTTTTACTCTCTCTCTCTCTCTCCAAGCTCAATAGTTTTTCTAAAAAATTTAATTTTGTTTGGGATAACCTAAATAAGTGCACTTTTTGTCTTTTTACGAAAAGATGTGCAGAAAAGTAGAGAGCTGATGTGATGAAAAAAAGATAAAAAGATAAAAAGTGTGTACTTATTTTGGGTAGCCAAACTTAACCTTAATTACTCTTTATTAATCAACGTTATGTCAATTAAAGAAATAATTTTATTTTACCATGAAAATGTGTCAAAAAAACACTTGGGATTGAAATTAGTGTATCGTGAAATTTATTATTTAATAAATTTGAGCCATATAATCATAATTTTGAGTACAATTTATGAGTATGTATTATTGAAAAACAATAAATTACACTTTGTTCCATTGCACGTTACACTAGAAAACGATTACGGATGCCAAACAAATGACAGAATAATAAGGATCAGCCTCTTCTCCTGCACTCTTGCCTCCGGCTCTTTCCTGCACCTTTTATAAGATTGAGACACTTGGCATCTAACAGATTCAATCATTCCAAAATAAAACACGTAGTGCACACCGCCTTGATAGAAAAAAAACGATGTCGTTTAGGGTACAGTTTCTCACTCCTTTCCACTTCCAAAAATTAAATTTTATTTTTTTTAATAACTATGCATAAACATGTTCATGTATATTACTTTATTATAAAAATACTAAAATATATTTATTTACCAATTTAATAAATAAATGAGCTAAGTGGTTTATGTTTACGCATAGATTAAGACAATTCTCTAATGATTAAGTCATGGTTAAGTTGAAATAAATGTTGAGTCAATTAGATTATGTCACTTTTAATGTCTAACACAACTATAATTCATCAAACTGACTCTTATATATTTTATCATAAAAAATACTAACATATATTTATTTATTAAATTAATAAATAAATGAGTTAAGTGGTTCGTGTTTAGGTATAGACTAAGGCAATTCTCTAATTATTAGGTCATGGCCAAGCTGACATAAATGTTGATTTAATTAGATTATGTCACTTTTAATGTCTAACATAACTATAAATTCTTAATAATTTTAAATATAATTATAAAATTTTATCCAAATTTTAATTTTTTTAATAACTATGCATAAACGTGTTCACATTTATTATTTTATTATACCAATACTAAAATATATTTATTCATCAATTTAATAAATAAATGAGTTAAGTGATTTATGTTTAGGCATGGACTAAGACAATACCCTAATGATTAGGTCATGATCAAGTTGAGATAAATGTTGAGTCAATTAGATTATGTAACTTTTAATGTCTAACACGACTATAATTCCTCAAGCTAATTCTTATATATTTTACTATAAAAAATACTAACATATATTTATTTATCAATTTAATAAATAAATGAGTTAAGTGGTTCATGCTTAGATATAGACTAAGACAATTATCTAATTATTAGGTCATGGCCAAATTGACATAAATGTTGATTTCGTTAGATTATGTCACTTTTAGTGTCTAACATAACTATAAATTCCTAATAATTTTAAATATGAATATAAAATTTTATCCAAATTTTAATTTTTTAAATAACTATGCATAAACATGTTCATATTTATTATTTTATTATAAAAATACTAAAATATATTTATTCATTAATTTAATAAATGAATGAGTTAAGTGGTTTATGTTTAGGCATAGACTAAGACAATTCTCTAATTATTAGGTCATGGTCACGTTGAGATAAATGTTGAATCAATTATATTATGTTATTTTTAGTGTGTAGCACAACTATAATTCCTCAAGCCAACTCTTATATATTTTATTATAAAAAATACTAACATATATTTATTTATCAATTTAATAAATAAATGAGTTAAGTGGTTCATGTTTAGGTATAGATTAAGACAATTCTCTAATTATTAGGTCATGGCCAAACTGACATAAATGTTGATTTAATTAGATTATGTCACTTTTAGTGTCTAACATAACTATAAATTCTCAATAATTTTAAATATAAATATAAAATTTTATCCAAATTTTATTTTTTTTAATAACTATGCATAAACGTGTTCATATTTATTATTTTATTATAAAAATACTAAAATATATTTATTCACCAATTTAATAAATCAATGAGTTAAGTGGTTTATGTTTAGGCATAGACTAAGACAATTTTCTAATGATTAGGTCATGGTTAAGTTGAGATAAATGTTAAGTCAATTAGATTATGTCATTTTTAGTGTCTTGCACAACTATAATTCCTCAAGTTGATTCTCATATATTTTATTATAAAAAATACTAACATATATTTATTTATCAATTTAATTAATAAATGAGTTAAGTTGCTTATGTTTCGGCAGAGACTAAGAAAATTCTCTAATGATTAGGTCATGGCCAAATTGAGATAAATGTTGAGTCAATTAGATTATGTCAGTGTTTACTACAACTATAAATGCTTAACCCAACTTTTATATATTTTATTACAAAAAATACGAATGTATATTTATTCACCAATTTAATAAATAAATTAAGTGATTCATTCTTAGGCATAGACTAAGACAATTCTCTAATAATTAGGTCATGGTCAAGTTGAGCAAGTTCTAATAATTAGGTCATGACCAAGTTCAAATAAATGTTGAATCAATTAAATTATGTCATTTTTAATGTCTAGCACAAATAAAAATCCTCAATAATTTTAAATATAAATATAAAATTTTATCGAATTTTAATTTTTTTATAATTATGCATAAACATGTACTTATTTATTATTTTATTATAAAAAATACTAAATATATATTTATTAAGTGTCTCCCCCAGACGACATCGTTTTTTTCTGTCAAATGAGGTGTGCACTACGTGTTTATTTTGGAATAGTTGAATTTGTTAAATGCCACGTGTCTCAATCTTATGTAAAGTGCAGAAAAAGACCGGAGGCAAGAGTGCAGGAGAGGAGGCTGATCCGGATAATGATGGGTAGTAAGGAGCTAATAGAGAAATGATGAAAGTGATGAGTAAGGAGTAAGCAGTTTTTATAAATAGTGAAAAAAAAGAGGCTGCATAACAATGAAAAATGTTTTGAAGTTTTAATTCTTGACCTTTAAAGTCAACTCTAATGAGTTGGTAGTAGGTTTCTTTTATTGTGATGTGATACTTTCATCTTTTTTCTTTTTCTCCCTGTCATGTCATTAGTGCTCCATTAGAACACCCAAATTAGTGCTCTGAATTATTATTGAATAAAAATATGGCGAGTAACAAAAAAAACAAATAGTTAATAGAAGTACGTTTAGAAGATATAGTATGGATCAAGGTTTTGAAAAGCAGTTGTAGTTACTGTAATGCTTGCGGCAACACGGTAGCGGTTGTGGAGTTTAATGGCCGTAGCGTAACGGTTACAGTAATTAGAATCACGAATTTTTTTATTTTTCGTACAATTTGAAGAAAATTTTTTGATACGCATATATATATATATATATATTTTTTAGAGTCATATTTATTTGGGTTTAAAATAAATTTTGATAAATTTTTATTAATTTTTAAGTATGATTCAATATATTTTATATTTTCAAATCACTATAAAGTGAGTTTTTTACATTCTATTTCAATAGTTAATGATTTTAAGAATTATTGATTTTGAATATCTACAAATTATTTTTTACCAATACCTGAACTAACTGAATAAAATTTATTTACAATTATTACATGAAAGGATTATAATATAAAAATTGTGCCATAAATAACAAAAAAATTCATAAAAGATTTTTTCTTTGGATCTGGATTACTTGCATTTGTTTTTTTTTTTTTTTTTTGTAAGTTTTTTTTTTTTTGAGAAAATAAACTATTTAGAATATTGTAAAATGTTGTAACAATATCTAATGGACCGTTATGGTTCCGCTACAGTCGTTACGTAATACCGAAATGGTCATTATATATGTAAATTTTTGTCACACCACTATAGCGACAGTAACGAGTAGCGGTAACCACCACAATCATTACGTAACGATTACAGTCACTTTTTAAAACCTTGGTAAGAAGAAATGAATGATAAAAATGTGATTAGATATAAAATAGTTGATTGTGTTCATGGAAAATGAATGATCAAAATAAGATTAGACATAAAATATAGTGGTGCAGCCTGTTATTGTTCTAATTTCTATTAATAGATTTAATACCATATTAATGAGACTCGTTTGCCAAGTGCAGAAAATAGTTAAAAAATTATTATAATCTACCACATAATTTTCATTACTTTTTTGTATGTTTTTTTTATAAAAAATTTAAAAGTCAGCTAAAATAGTAAACTTTAACCTTAATGCTGTGTTTGGTTGATGGATTTGAGGAGGAATTTGGAAAGGGAAAGGGAAAAGGTGTGTGAAACTATGTGAAATATAGGCATGATTTATTCACATTTCACCTACCTTTTTCATTTTCCTTTCCAAATTCCCTAACCAAACACAGCATAAAAGTTAGATTGTTAGATAAAAAACATAGGACTAAAGTGAGATTATATGCACCGCAACGGTGCAAAGTGTAATTTACCAAAAACGAAAAACCAAAACCAAAACGGGACTGCCGCCTCCCAAGGAAGCATCGCCGCAAGAAGAAGCATTTCCCGGAGATGATCTGTTCGGCATGTTTTCAGGGTTAGGGTTGCTGAGGACCCCCAAAACCGAATGCTCGTTAATTGGCACCATTCAAATTTAATGCCACATTGATGTTGAATGTGTCAAATGGGGCATTTTGGGAGCAGGAGTTCAGGGATGATCCGTATGAGTTGGGTTGGTGATGATTGTTTCATTACTGGAGGGAATGAGATGGCTTATCTGGGTTTTGGTGTATGCTGGTGAGCAACAGTATTAAGGGGACATGGTTTCTTTGTACTGTGCCATTGGGTGTGCTCAATAAGGGATCAATTGAGTTTGTCCCAGAACTCACATGGCCCAAAAAAGACCCAATTCAGAGATTAGGATTTGGGTTTTCTAAATAAGGTTGCAATGTTGTTTCCATATGAGTTCTTTTTGTTTTATTGCTATTCTTATCTCTCAGGAGACCCACTTCTTGTAGCTCTTGATTTTGAAAAGATGTCTCCAGTGGGAGTGTTTTGGACAAATTGAAGGGTATATTCAATATCAGTTGCCACCTGGTTCTTAACCATATGTTGCAATTGGGGATTGGAGAGTGTTCTTTGCTGGAGAGGCGACTAATAAGCAGTATCCAGGAGGTCATTTGTTTGTTCTGGCAGAAAAAATCAAATAATTTTAATGGGGAAAGAAAGTGATGATGTTGATAAAATTAGTTTGAGACCCTTGAACTTAAATTTGGTAGCTTTTCTGTTTTGTTTGAGCTCATGTCAAATTATCTTGAATTTATTTATTTGTTACAAGTTGTATTCGAAGGCGAGAAATTGGATTCAGGTTTGTCTGCATCTTTATGGCTTGATCCATAGGAATTTCCCCAATGATGACTTGAAAACCTTATTTATCTGTACAGCAATAGTGCATTTTAGCGATTAGATTATTGAATTCAAAAGTGACACATCATAATTGGTTCGGTTTTGTAATGCTTGCTAGTTACAACTTACTATTAAATTCTTGTTGGCAGCATCTGAATGTAATTCATATATGTGCCCACATTTTTGTACATTTATCTTTGTGAAGTATAATGATAAATTACCATTCAATCTCGTGTCTTCATTTAAGTCTTCTGATAATTGTTACTTGCTTCAATCATTAGTTGGTTAGGTGCTTTGTTTTTTATTGTCAAAGTGAATAGGCTAACTTATATTATATTGTAAATGATCCTTTAAATTATTGTTCTTGTCATTTTGAAGGATTGTTTGGTACTGTTAGGAATTGTTTTGGTTAGTTCTGGTGCACTTTTATTTATTATATCTTAACGCCAGAAATCAGAGAAAGATTGACTATAATGTGCTTTTGTTACTGGTATTTCTTACGTGAAACGCCACTTTTTTTAGAATATTGTTGTTAGAGCAAAAAATTTGTTCTAATGAAATATTTTAGTGCCTGCTTGGCTTTGTTGTGGCTTTTAGTGAAATACTTTTTAAGAAGAGCTTCTGTAGAACCAAGCATCTTGAACTTGCTTCCCCAAGAAGTGCTCAGGGCCTCTATTTTTGGTCATCTGAAAGTGCTTTTGTTGTGTTGCCAAGCATAATTAAAATGTGGTTTTGGGCCGCCTCACTGCAATGAAACAAGGCTTTGGCTTCATTTGATTCAGGCTGAAGCAAGAGGTCAGCCTTGAGCATGAGTTCGGAAACATGTTCCTTGGAAAACTTTGGATTATGCTCTTGCTCAAAATTGTTTAGGAGCATTTTAAGAAACCATTAGTCTGATCATGTCTTATAATAAAAGCTCTAATTTTTTGAGTTCCAATTTCTGAACATAGTACCCAAGTTACCCGGTTAATACATGAGCACTCAAGATATCTGAAGCACAAAGGTTATACATTTCTGCCACTTCCTTTATGTTAATTGAATTGTAGTATTCAAGTCCAACTCTTGGAAAATTCATATTACTACTGCAAGTCGTGTAGACTAGCACCCATCCGAAATGTTTGCTGCAATAGGAGTGGGTGATAAATGACGAATATGAACTTTTCATTTTATTGTTCCCCCATCTCAAAGTCATTCAACTTCATTAGATTAAGAATTTGATCCATGTCGCTTTTGTTATTCACCAGGTCCTAAAATGGACCATATTATTCTCTGCATAACCAATGATTCATTGTTTGCGAACTGTTGTTTTCCCAATGCCTTGAGTTGTGTGATTAGCCATTCATGGGAGGAGGGATCAATTCCGTGGAAGAAGGGATCAGATTCTTGAGAAACCTAAAGCTTTTAGCCACAGAAGAAAAGAAAAGCTGGCTGAAATCTTAGTGCCTCAATGGGTTATTGTACGATTCAAGGGATTCCATTTCGATTGATGGGTAAGTGTAACTAATCTGATATGTTTAATCTTGCATAGCCCATGCTAATTCATGGGATCAGAACTACAGTGCAAAGTTGCGGATTTGGACTCGAGGATTCATCATCTGATGTAATTTTTCTGCTTATTTGGTGTTATGCTTTTGGGCTTGTCATATCTATTGTTTTATGCTTTTGGGTTTAATGGTTGTTTTAGGTGTCTAAGTCATCTCCTTGTACTCTTTTGGATCGTCCTCTTTTATTTGCCTGTGTTTAGTTAGATTCTCTTATCTTCCTGCATTAATTCTTTGTTGTATTATTTTTTGATGTAATGAAGTTCTTACCTTTCCTAAAAAATAATCCAAAAAAAAAAAGAAATTAAAAAATTCAATGGATTCCATGCATAAACCAATTATGAGTTCTCTTCTTTCTTGATCTCATGTTCCTTAAATAAAAAAGAAGAAGTTGAGTTTGCTTATTTGCTGTATCAGACCATGCATGTGTTCCTTGTTCTTTTGTTGAATAAGAACATAATCTAGTAATAATCTTACTACACCAAGTCAGAGGCCATAAAAGCGGACCCGAGTCATGAAATTGCAGAAGGAATATACCGCTAGAAAGTTTTACACTGAGTCTTGACCTGGCTTCAGAACCATGTCTTACCAAAAACTAGTGTATTTTGCTTTCTAGCTTTGATATATGTGGTCAAGCATAGGGTTCTTTCTTTTCAGCAGAAATGCTAGCCCACCATGATCAGGAAAGTAGTAATCTTTATTCTCAAACATTATTCAAGCTTAGATTCTGATACACAGTAGTCTCCCACTAATGTGTTGAATGAGAACATGGTTCTTCCCCACAAATGTGCCTTTTACTAAAGTGGATTAACATTAAAGAGAAAGTGGATAAATGATTGTCTTCTGTTTACTAAATTAAAGACTAAAGACAACTGACTTGGTTCCATGATAGTGATATCAAAGTAAGCATGTTGTCCTCTTCCTTCTGTCTCTCTGCCGTTATCTCAACTTCGAATAAAAATTACAGACACGGAATTTTTGGCACAGAAAGTGAAGTGTGCAGTCCAGATTCATCTCTGGTGTAGTAATGGAATTTATTATATAGGTTCTTAATTTGTTCCATTTTGAACTGCTAAGACTATAATATATTAGGCTCGTATCAAAATAGTAGTAAACAACACAAAGGTGAAGATGCTTTTTAGCTATTGTATGCTCCTATCTATTTTCTTCTTCTTACTGTCTGTCTCTGATGCATTGTCAGACCTTGAAGTACTGTTGAAGCTCAAGTCCTCCATGATTGGACCAGGAGGATCAGGACTCGAGGACTGGAAGTACTCTTCCTCTCCTTCTGCACACTGTTCATTCTCTGGTGTAGCTTGTGATGAGAGCTCACGAGTGACCTCTCTCAACATCTCGTTTGAGCCTCTCTCTGGTATAATTCCACCGGAGATTGGGCAATTGAATAAGCTTGTTTATCTCACTATCATCGAGAGCAATCTCACCGGCGAGCTTCCACTAGAGATGTCGAACCTAACATCCATCAAGTTCATCAACATCTCTTCCAACACCTTCAACGGAAGCATCCATGGAAGCGTGATAGCTTCAATGACCGAGCTCCAAGTTTTCGATGTCTACAATAACAATTTCACTGGAACGCTCCTGACAGAGTTTGCAGGGCTGAAGGGGCTCAAGACTCTTCATCTCGGAGGGAACTACTTCTATGGGGTGATTCCAGAGGCTTACGCCGAGCTTCAGAGCCTGGAATGTTTAGGTTTACAAGGCAATGGACTTACTGGAAAAATTCCAACGAGTTTGGGTCGGTTGATGAACCTTAAAGAACTCTATCTCGGGTATTTCAATGCCTACGAAGGAGGGATTCCATTCGAGTTTGGACTATTGAGCTCGCTCCAAGTCCTTGACATGGCGAGTTGTAACCTGTCAGGAGAAATTCCAAAGAGTCTGGGTAATTTGAAGATGTTGCAGTATCTGTATCTCCAATTCAATGGACTCACTGGTCACATTCCTTCTGAACTGTCTGGCTTGGTTGGCTTGAATTACCTGGACCTCTCAGTTAACCAACTCAGCGGTCAAGTACCCGAGAGTTTGTCAGAATTGAAGAACATGAGGTTATTAAATCTGTTTCGCAACCGTCTTCATGGTCCTGTTCCATCCTTTATCGGCGAGCTTCCCAATCTCAAGGTCTTACAGATATGGGATAACAACTTTACTTCTGAACTGCCTGAAAATCTTGGGCAAAATGGGAAGCTGCAACTACTTGACGTTGCCACCAACCAACTCACCGGAACCATTCCTCGTCATTTGTGTGGAGGAGGGAGATTAAAGACATTGATTCTGATGGAAAACCAATTTTTTGGATCCATTCCTGAAGAAATTGGAGAGTGCAAATCACTAGTTAAGGTGAGAATCATGAATAACTTCTTCAATGGAACACTTCCTGCTAGGCTCTTCAGCCTGCCATTGTTAAGCATGCTTGAGCTCAGCAACAACCACTTCACAGGAGAACTTCCACCACAAATGGCAGCCAACAAGCTTGAATTTCTCTCTCTGTCTGACAATTCAATCACGGGTAAAATCCCACCTGCAATTGGAAATCTGGTTAGCGTGGTGATGCTTTTGCTGGATATGAACAGATTTTCTGATGAAATTCCCGAGAAAATCTCCAATCTAAAGAAGCTTTCAGTGCTCGACATGCGTGCCAACAACATTAGTGGTGGCATTCCAAGTTCAATAGTTGATTGTCATGAACTAACTTCGATTCATTTGAGTGAAAACAGTTTGGATGGTGAAATTCCTAGAGGAATCTCAATGTTGAGGAAATTGAACTCACTCAATTTGTCAAGAAACCATCTTAGTGGTCAAATACCGGATGAAATGGGGTCGATGATCAGCCTGACATTCTTGGATCTGTCTTACAACAACTTCTCGGGAAGACTTCCTAGTGGCAATCAGTTTCAGTTCTTCAATAGCAGATCATTCATTGGAAACCCCAACCTCTGTTTACCACACGACTCATCTTGCCCTTCATCGCGAGAGATTCCCAGAGCACATTCAAAGTCGTTTGGTGCAACAAAGATTGTTATTATTACAGTAATTGCACTTGTTACATTCATGTTGTTGTTGGTTGTTACATGTGTGGTAATCTTGAAAAAGCGAAGGCTTCAAAAATCAAGGATGTAGAAGCCCACAATATACCAAACAGGTCAGTTTTAAAGCTATTGCAGACTCATTGGGCATTTTTTCATAGTTCAAGATAATAGTAGTTTTAGTATATGATTGTACTTGTAGGGCTAATGGGGTTGTGGTGAAAGAACTAAAAGACTACTTGTTATCAAATTAAATGTATGTTACTGTTGTTTTCCGTAGAAGAAAAATTGTATAGGTTTATGGGTTTCCCTTGGTGGATTTTGATGCATAAGTAGCTGCCTGTTGATGACATATGAGGAAAATTTTCATTTTGTTTCTACCCTATTTTTGCTTTCTTCTTCCCCTGTTCTGATTTGGTACTTTGGTAAGTTTAAACTTTGTTTCTCTGCATTTTTATTACATTATAAGCTGCCAAACACTCAAAGAACATAGAGGCTAAGAAGGGCTCTCTTGCAGATTAATCATGGCCACCGTAAGCAACTAATCTTCTATTCATAGATTTGCAATGGAAATTATGATGATTGGTGTGTTTCCAATAATATCATGATATGAAGGGTTTGGTGGCAAAATGGGTATGTTGATCTAAAGTGTAAAACAACATAAATTCACACACAAATTTAGGATATTGAGACAATTCCCTAGAATTCATTAAAATATTGTTAAAATCTTATATAGGTGTGTGTGTGTGTCAGTGCTTTCCAATACGAAGTTTTTTTTTTTGTTGATTCATTCGAAGGTTAAAGACAAAGTTAAAAGTTAACAGATATAGTCCTGGGATAATTCAATTCCTACTAGAGTTAACAACGCTCATGTCAGTGATTAAAAAAGAAAGAATGGAGCTTGGTGGATCTTTCAGAAAGATAGTATAATCATGTTGGTTTACACCTAGGTTGGCCAGGGCATCTGCACTTTGGTTAGCTTCCCTGGCAATGGCTTTGATTGTGCATTAACAGCGCCTTAGGAGGAAATTGGCATCTTCAATGAGTGCTCGATAAGGAGAATTCGCTTCAGCTCCATCCCAAATAAGCTCCATAGCTCTCTGTGAATCTCTCTCAATTTCAATGTTGGTTAGCCCCTTCTGCATGATAATGGTTAGTCCTCTGTAGATGCCCCACAGCTCAGCTTCTAGGCTTGTGCAATTTCCTAGATAGCCATAGTACCCCCACACCGAGGTTCCAACTTCATCTCTGAGCAGCCCTCCATATCCGGACTGTCCAGGGTCTCCTTTGGAGCTTCCATCTGTGTTTAGCTGAGTTTACTTGCAATAGGACAAGACCACATCATTAATTTGGGATCTCTAAAATGTGGGTTCAAGATGGCCTGGAAGGCTTCTTGAGTTTCCATAGCTTGTTTAAAAATGGAGTTAACATTGATATGGATAAGTTGTGATAGATTTTCAAACACTTCCTTGTTTCTCTCTTTCCAAATGTTCCAAAGTGTTGTTAAGAATACGGTAGGCCACTGAATGTTATGCACTTGATCCTCACTTCTCATATTGACTTTGATTCATTCCTGTAGAGGGTTGTTATTGCTATGTTGCCACCATTCTATACTTTTGAGGTTGAGCCATATTGCCTGGGCTTTAGGTTAGCCTTGAAGTAGATGTACATATCTTCTCTGTCAATTTGGCATATGGGACATATCTTAGAATTTAAAAGGTTCCTGATGGGCCTCATATGGTTAGTTAGAAGCCTCTAATGCATGACAAGCCAAAGAAAGCTTTTGAGTTTGTGAGGGGCCTTTATTTTCCATATCCACTACCAGTTCACTTCCTCATTTTCTTCATTTAATATAGCTTGGTAAGCTACTGTTGTTGAATAGTTGCCACTAAGGGAGCCTTTCCAATGAGGGGTGTCACTAAAAGTCACATACCTAGGTCTGTATATACTGAGAATTTCCTCTTGCACTAGTTGGGAGATAAGATCTTGAATTGAGGTTAAGTCCCATTTCCCTTCTTCATCGATTATAGAGCTAGCTTTGGTTGTGTTATCAATGTGTGCCCCTGGTTGAGTGACACACAGGGGTTGACTCCCACACCACCAATCGGTCCATAAGGCTATGTTCTCCCATGTGCCAACATTTCATTTTATATTCCTGTTCAGGACCTTCTTATTTCTGATAATGCTTTTCCAAGTGTGTGATGCTCTTCTCTGGGTGGGCCAGTTAGAGACTGAGTGATCCTTGAGATATTTGCTTTTAGAATTTTGCACCAAAGCTCATCAGAATTGGTAGTCAATTTCCATCCCAACTTAGAGATGAGAGTGGAGTTCTGTTCTCTGGCTTGCCTTATGCCTAGGCCCCCATTTCTCTTAGACTTACACACCTGTTGCCAATTAACAAGGTGAACTTTCTTCTTATCCTCTGTACTACCCCAAAGAAAATTTATGTTCAGCCTATCAATTTGGTCACAGACCTTCCTTGGAATTTCCATGGTTTGCATGAGATGATTAGGCATGGAAGAGGTGACAACCTTGACTAAGGTAGTTCTGCTTGCTAAGGATAAATTTTTTGCTTTCCAACCAGATAGTCTTTTGGCCATTCTGTCAATAATGTCTTTCAAATGATTTTTGCTAATTCTGTTGTAAAGGAGAGGAGTACTCTGGTATTTCCCCAAGTCATTAATGATAGAGATGCCACACATTGCTGAGAGGAAGAGCTTCTCTTCTAGGAATGTTGGGGGAAATGAACATTTTGGATTTATGAAAATTAATTTTCTGACCAGACATGTCACAGAACTCATGTAGCACTTCCATAATACAATCACAATTACTTCTATTAGCTTTAGCAAGTAGGATCAAATCATTAGCAAAAAACAAGTGGGAATTGGGAGGGCTATTATTGGAAGCTTTAAGGCCCTTCCATTTTCCACTTTCAGTTTTGAGTCTAATCATGTTGGGAGCAAATGGATGAGATCTTACAGGAGATACCCGTAGGAGAGAACCTGGTTATAGGTGGAGATTTTAATGGCCATGTGGGCATAGATAAAGTAGGTTATGAAAGGGTGCATAATGGATATGGTTTTGGCAACAAAAATGAGACTGGAGAGAGAATCTTAGATTTGGCGTTGGCTTCTGACCTGGTGGTGGCCAATACTATGTATAAGAAGAGGGAGGAACATTTGATAACCTTTAAGAGTGGATTAGTTAAGAGCCAAATAGATTATTTCTTAGTGAGAAAAGTGGACTGCCTAAAATGCAATGATTGTAAGGTGATTCCTAGAGAGAGTCTGGTCTTTCAACATAAGATTTTGGTACTAGATTTATGTTTTAGAGGGCAATACCAAGCTAGGAATGATGGTGGGCGTCATAGGATGAGATGGTGGGACTTGAAAGGGGATAAATTAGAAATATTTAAAAATCGAATGGATAAGGAAGGTACTTGGGACTTAGAAGGTGATGCTAACACTATGTGGATTTCGATGGCCAATTGTATGAGGAGAATCTCAAGGGAAGTGCTTGGAGAGTCGAAAGGAACGGGACCCAGCTCTAGGGAAACTTGGTGGTGGAGGGAAGAGGTTCAAGCGATAGTTAAGACAAAAAAAGAGTGCCTTAAAAAGTGGCAGAAGGATAAAACTGAGGAAAACCTTAAGGTCATGTTTGTTTGGGTAGACATGAGCTTGGGATTGGACTAATAGTCCAATAAAATTATTAATCCGATGTTTGGTTAAACAATTGAAGTACGGACTAATTATTTTAAACTTGACTATTAGTTAAGATAGGATACATAATCCAACAAATTTGTAATCCTAGGACTATTAGTCATGGGAATGCTAATCCAGTCCGCCCAAACAAACATGGCCCAAAT